ATGATTTTGTTCGCTAGAGCCACCAACGATATATCAGGAGCTGGCATTAGATCGACAATTTAAGTTGTTGGTAATTATGAATATGCCACATATTTGAAATTTGGTCTTGGAGGAGTCATTCGTTATTTGACATAGGCTCGGCCGTTCGAACAACTTATGATGTTTAATACATTTGATATAATTATAATCAGTATTTTTGTGAAAAAAATATAGTACTGTTTGGGTTTCTTGAAACTTTTTTGAGAGATAGGGTGTGATGACAGGCATTTAGTTGCGAACTATTAAGTACATATAGCTTTGCAAACGCTTAATTAAACTGATCAAATATGCACCTGGAAATCAAGCTTTCTCCTTATCGTATACTGCAAGCGGTGCTGCAAGTGTGATAACTCGCTTTTATTCGATTTGTGTTGTATTAAAAGTCATTTCTGGCGTTTCGAATTAGTTTCAACATTTTCCTAGCAAACAGGCAAACAAAGTATCGTTATATTGAAAAATAAACTAATTCTGCATAAAAGCTGAACCTAGACCAGAAATGTTTTCAGTGCTTCACTCCTCACCGTATGTTCAAATATGAAGTGTATTCGACTGCGAATTTTTTTTCTATGCTGCATCATTTCTAAACGACCGTAACTGGATGAAATTTTTGGAATAGGTTGCAAGTTCAGTTTCGCTTGCGGCGTTAAGCGATCTCTATTTAGCTCGTTCGAGCGTCGCATGAAGTACGATGCTTATTTGTACGTGCATTCTAGTTACTGATTTTGTAGGTGCTTGTTCGATGACCAGCGAAGGTGACTGCCCAATTGAATTGTGGGTTCGCGCTGGATGCGATGGCGTCCGTTTGGGTGGCTGTCCACTCTGTCATCAGGTTTTCATGACCTTGCTGATCAAAGGCCAGGATCATCGGATTAGTTTCAAGGTCAAGACCACAAACCCGTATAAAGCGCAGCCGGAATTCCGTGCTTTGGGATTTAGGCACGTGCCGGCGTTTGTTCACGACGACGTTTTGATCGATCAGCCGGACGAAATATTGGAGTACATCGATAAGATATTGCCTGTCCCGGACCTTCAGTATCATAATTCTGAAGCCGATTCGGCCGTAAAAGACTTGTTTTCGAAGTTTTGCTTCTACATCAAATCTCTCAGTAAAGACCCTGCTCACTTGGAAGCGGGTTTGAGAAAGCTCGACGAGTTTTTGGAAAAGGTAACTTCTAATGACTTTCTGTTCTGGTTCTGGTTCCTTGTTCTAGCGAATGACATGTTTCTATTCATGTTGCATAAATCTGATGAGGCATTTCAGACGGTCATACTTCACAAATCTGAACTTTCTCTTTTTCAAGGTTCGGTGGCTGTAACGATAACAACAGCATGCATGGGGGGGATTGCGACAGAGATCACTTTTTCACTTTAACCCTTGCTTGAAAATGTTAGATTTTATTATAAGCACATTTTTTTGCACAAATCTAAGAGCTTTCTGAGAATTTTCCTTTCGTTTCTTGTTGTTTCTAGCATTTAATGATGCAAGGTCCTTGTAATGCAGAGTCCGGCGTAGCAGTGTATAAATCTTTAACGCGTACTAAGTAGTAACCGAATCACTCGAGAAAACAGCAATGAATCTGACTGATTTTTTGAGTAATAAGAGAAAAAGGCGTGGATCTTGGTACCAAACGTGTAATTGCTGTCACGTTGCTTTGACGGCGCATGAGTGCTACCGGTATTTCGGTGTTCATTGCGCGTACCTGAGGATTGTGCACTTACCCTCGTCGAAGATTCCACAACAGCAAGCGTCGCTGTAGTGATTTCGACGATCTCGCCGATGCTGCAGGCTTCCAAGTGATTTTGCTCTTTACTCTGACCTAAAACCCACTGTTGAAGTGGTTTCTACAGTTTGTGTTCTCTTCACACAGAACTAAAACCGAACTGTTGGCGTAAAGCAAGCATCATATTGCCACATAATGCGCGATAAAACTCTAAAATATTCGTTGTTGATGCACACACTTTCAGACCTATGAATCAGCTCTGTTGTTTTTCAACGAATCTTGAATGTTCCGCTCCAGTTAGTTATTTAAGTGTGCGGAAATGCGTTTGAAGTTCTGAAGTAGTAGCGCTTAAACGAAATCACGAAACTCGCTATTTCTCAAAACATCAAACATCCCGAAAAATGAGTCGGGTGACGAAACACGTAAATGCCAGTGCTTTAATCACAGTTGTTGGGGCGTGACTCCAAGAGCAGATTTCACTACGTATATATTTTGATTTTAATTGTCCGAAGGCCATTTAAGTTGCCACGGCTTCATGCTATTTGAGCACCTGCAATGCTAGATGCACCTCACCTCGTTTTGTTCGCTAGAGCGATCTCTTGATCACAGAGAACGATGTTTCCAAAGTTGGTACTGCGTGTCTGCTACCGCATAAACAAAAAATGTATATCGTATGCCGGAGTATGTTACTTGGCGCACAGCTTCTCCAAAGCCAGAGTAGTAATTTCAGTACAAGAGAGTAGCGCGGTTATCACAATCTAAGTGACGCTTGTTAGTATCGCGCATGTTTAAAGTTAACCGAAAACGGAACTGAGAAAAGATTGAAAAACAGTGTTTCAAAATGACCTTTGTACTCCAAACTTATGGTGGTATTGCGTTCTGCAGCTACCAGATACCGTTTACAATTCGTCAAGTTCAGTCCTTGCAAACACTGTAACATACTCGACAGCGAGAAACTATGGTAGCCCTAGTAATAATTTTCAGTCGAGTACGAGGTTGAGTGTTGTTACTCCTGCTGATGCCGCCAGAAACAGCTCTGTCAGTCACTGACATGGAAAATTAGGGCGTTACACGCCGAATCCGTTAGTCTGAAAAGCAGTCAAGCTTTGAACAGTTTTGCGGCGTGCAGCCAGGTTCTGTTATAGATAATATGATTGCTGCTTTATTGATGCTGAAAAGTAAGATTATTTATAGATCTCGTTTAAGCAGTAAACTTTCGATTTGTAGTATCCGTAGTCGTTCTTCTCAACTCATATTGGTTGAGTAAAATCCTGGCAGCTCAACCTAAGAGATCAGCTGATGTCCACAGCAACTATCAAAGCTGACCGCAAATTATTGTGAAGGACATCTGTCTGAAAAGCCGGTAGCAGTTTATCATCCTTACAAACCATTAAGCAGGTAGAACATTTAAAATCGGGCTATCTAAAGTCGGAATAATTTTGTAAATGCAGTAAAACAGGTAAGAATGTATCCCTCCCATATCTAAATCAGTGGATCATTTCTACTCCTTATTGCATCCTAAAGGAATGCCAGTAACCAGTCAACTAAACCGGCTTTCTAATCGGGAAAGTCTGTTAGTTGAGACTCCAAGTACCGATGTTCTAGTTGAGAAGTTCTCTCTCCTAGTCACTCTCAAGCTTGCCTAATTTCACAAATTTTAAACCTTGCTTCTCTTCGCGTGGAAGTGGATACTCGAAGAATATGTATCTAGAAATACAGAAGTAAAACACTGACTGCTTTCATTTGTTATCTACGCACTATAATTATTATATGTCATTCGTTTCTTTTCCCATCTTTCGGGTTGGAGCAACATCAGTCCTAGGATGCTTTTTAATGGTTCTGGCCCTCTGTTAAGTGGCACGCTCCCGAGTTGAATTCCAAGCCGAGGCTGTTGGTTGTTCAGTATACCCTAACCACATGGTGCTAACTCGCTTACCGTCTGGCCTTCTAAAAGGAGCTGTTCTTGTGATTTCTTTCTGGCATCATGACTACGTACTCAGACAGACCATCACAGGTATAATCTCGATTTGAAGAAGCGATTCAGCAGTCATGGCATATCAGACTGATGTTCCAAATCTGTGTCATGCATCTGCTGTTATTTGATACGGATATAAAAGAGGTTGCATTATTTTATTGTCTGAAACCATGAACGGTATTTTAGTTTCCAAGCTTTGCTCATTTGAAGCATTCGTGCGTCTTGCGCTTTGTCAAATAAATGGTTTTATTGTATTTTCACAACGGCTACTAAATGATAAACTGTGTACTACAAGCTATCAGTTTATTTAATAAGCGTATTTCGATGTTTTCATCTGAAATTTGTGTAGTGGTGCAATTGCAAACGATTTGTAGTTCAGATTTGTGGTTTCTCATGTGAGACCTTTAAAACCTGTTTTAGAACAATACTACTTACCTTTGCGGTCCGAACGTTACGCACTTGGATTGCCAAATTTTACCAAAATTACATCAGATGCGTATCGTACTTAAGTACATAAAGAACTACGAAATGCCATCATCGCTTAGAAGCCTATGGAAGTATCTGGAAGCAGGTTATAATATCGAAGCATTCAGACTGTCGTGCCCTTGTGATGAAGAAATTATTTTGCACTGGGTCGATCGACCGGAAGTACCTAACGTTTCGAGCTCCGAGTACAAGCGGTTGTCGAGAGGTACAACGACGTATTCTTTCCACTTATCTGCCTAGTGCTTTGCTAGTCCTAGCACTGTCGTGCTTCAGCAACTGTTTTATGTTCTAGTCAGAATTATTTCGATATCTAGCTATATTTGAAAGGCTTAACTTTTGTTATTTCTTGTTTATAGCGTTCAGAGTTTATTTTTGAGACTGTCCAGGATGTGTTATTCGACTGTGATCTGTTACATTCATTTTTATGTCTCTTAACGTTTTACTCTCCCCAGCTTCTTTTGGGGAGACGATTTGTCAGGTATCGTTGGTGCTTTAACACTTCTTTATGGCTCGTTACGCTTTACTGTTTGCCGGTCTTATGTTTCTCGCTTAAAAGCAGGTATGCAGTTGTAGATGTTTGTGCAGCTTTCTGTAGTGGGACTTTTGCAACGCTTGTCAGATTTGTTTACAGTAAAATTTGCAATGGGCTGTTTGTTTTGTTGACCTCTTCCGTCTTCGACGACGTTTTTGTGATTTTATCAGAAAGCTTCCGTCATACTGATAGGTCGAATATTTTTAGGCGTTGTAGCTAATCCCTCAGTAAATCCTTATTCCGAAAATCTAGATTTCATTAAGCTGGTATTCCTAATTGCTCTAACGGCAAAAATTCCGCCTGCACATTGGCTTAATGGTTCAACACAAATTTGTCATTTGCTTGTGAATGTCTTCTTTAAAATCATTTTTGTTTTTCGAAGCCAAATCGGCGCCGCCGATTGATTCGAGACGAACACGTGGCACATCTTGCGTGGTACTCTGATGCGTTTAGTTAGGAATGAGAGATTAAAAATACTTCATCTTGAGTTTGTGTACTCTTCTTTTGCGCAGTTCTTCTCTGGTGCAAGACAAGCATTTAGTACAATATGCGAGCTCAATGGTGAGATTCCCGTGTACAGCTAACAAGCAGGCTAGTATTTGCTTAAGCTGGTACGTCTGGCATCAGTAAGTTTCAGGAAGCTCTATGAAATAGGGTGATCATGTAAAGTGTGAGACCATCAGCCCTATTCGCTGTGATCATATGCGGTCTGCAAGCATATGCTCCTCTCGATGGCTTCCAGTGACTATTATGGAAATATTATATATGAACGTGGAATGGCAAACCTCGATCACAAGTGAGCTGTTGCTGACAGTCAGCGTTTAACTTGCTTTGATGCCGCAGCCATGAATAAGAAATCTGTTCAAAACCAATCTCTCGTGACACCCGTGTATTTACTGTGGACGCGCTAGAAGATAAAACATTTTGGCACATCGTATGATCATGCTTGCTTACGAAGCGCAATACGGCATTTTTCTCCGCGGCGAACTTTGCCTAATGGAAATTTGAGACGTTTGAGACACCATTTAAAAAGGCCAGACAAATCTTGGCTACCCTGCTGCAAGAATCTTTATTGCAAACACGACTGGCCACTATCCTGTCAATAGTCATATCGTGCTGGAGTGTCAGTAAATTAAAATAAGTGTACGTGGTTAGAATGCGCGCTGCTTGTCCTGGGTAAATCCTGCATTTGCCACTAAAACATTAAAGTGGCTGTAGCTTTGAATCACCTTCTAATAATAGTGTTTCAGTGCATATAAACTGCGTTTGTTGAGACGTCGGTCTCCATTAACCAACATTCCAATATGGTAACTGAGCTACCTTACTCTGTCTAAACGGTACAAAGACGAGGAGAGTCGCTGAGGAGTCTCATAACTTAGCCCAAAGCTCGTAACTTAGTTATCAGTTTAGCGGTTTAGTTTGGAGAATGGCTGTCGATTAGCCGCTGCTCTGAATTGCGGTTCAGAGGACTATTCGAAAAGACAATACTGGTTATTGAAAATTGACCGTTTCCTGCATAGATTGTTCATACCTTGGTAATCGTGCTAAAAGTGTGACAGTTTTTTTTTATAAATGGAAAGTTATATGATTGTATTACCAGCTGATTAGCGATAGTTCAGCCTGCGTTACACCTTCTGGCGTAATGGTAAGTATTGGACAACATCTGGATGAAGTGCTTCAAGCTGATGAATGACTTTATGCATGCATTTAGTGCTTGAGTACTGTTGCTATGAATGCATTTAATAGGCTTAAAGTTACAGTTCGATCTTGGAGTTTCTGGAATCAGTGGCATTCTCATGTTTAGTACTCATGTTCAGTATTTACTGGAAGTCAGTTATTTGTCAAACAAACAGTTTCTTCAACGGATGTGTTGGTAGTAAATAAATCGTCTGAAATGGTGTGAACTGTTTTTGCCAAGAAATGGATCCTGAAAATTCCAATGTATCTTGAAACCGACATGAGCATTTGAGAAAGAAAAGGCAGTTTTAAAAGAAGGTGCGTCAAATACGTACATATGGCGCAGAAATTTTTCCTCTCAAACAGCGGGAAAAACTCATCGAAGTATGCTGAATATTGCGTTGCAAATAGTGAAGTCGGATTTAAACGGCGAAAATATACGTGAAGGAAAAAAAATATTTCTTACTTTGCAACGTCACTGCGATACTGTAAGACAGATGGAAGTCTTAGATCTGGTTGTACCGTAATATTGCACCGCTCCTTTGCTTCTGGTCGCCTAGGGGAACCATTTAGGCAGACCACGACTCCATGGTATTTTTATGTTGAATATGCGTTTTATCCTCCTTGACCGTAAGCTTCCTAGTACAGCTGTTGTTTTACTTTTACCGCCCGAGATTTGCAACAGTCTGTCTACAAATGTAGGACTATCTCTTATTTTTATCTAAAGGAGAAAGGTTTAACTAAAAGACAACGATACATAGTTGATTTTATGCGTTCCTTGACTTGTATTGCTATTCGACGTTTAATTAAAACTTTGCATTATAGATCTTTTGATCGTCTGTTCACTGAGTTTTAGCTTTTAGCTTACGTTTGGTTTCGTTTGCAGCTCAAAAGTAAATCTAACAGGGTCTTGGGTTTATGCCGAATGCAAAAATGAAAGGACGGTCAAATGAGCCAAAATGTATCTTGCAGGTGAATCGTTTTCATTGTATTAATTAATCATAAATTGTATTTTAGGAGGTACGCTATAACTTAGCAATGAAAATACCGGAGCCTGTGCTGTGAATGAGTACGGCATTTTTCTTCCAAGGTATCATATTTGCTATTGTTTCATTTTTGCTTCAGAGACCAGCAATACTGGTCGCGTAACATCAGTATCTTTGTATCCTTCATTGTCGTTCTCAGATGTATTATTACTAATCCATCCATTTTCTATGCCTATTCTTTTTCTTGGTCGCAGGGGCAGCAGCAGCTTCAGAAGGTTTTTACGGGGTTCTTTGTGCTCTGCAAGTCAGATAAGCTCCACCGATTGAATTCGAAGACCAGATGTTCGGTATGCTCCAGTCTTCTGGTTTTCAGTCTGCTCAATGGCGCATTGTTTGCGGCTTTGCGAAGAGAGCTCACCTTTCGAGTCCTCTATCATCCTGATCACGTATCTGAACCATCGTAATTGTAACTTCGATTTCGATGAGAAGCGACTCATAAACGAATGCATATCAAATTTCTATGTTTCAAGACATGTCTTCGCCGAAATCGCACCCTTTCGGTCAATATCCAGTATTTATGGCAGTAGATGAAATTTGGTTCATATTTGAACTTGAAGACAGATAACTTCACATTTCTGAAGTCTTTCTCTAAATCACCACAGACCAGTTTGCTTACTCTTACCATATCCGTTTGACTGATTCCCAAGTTTATTTTCACGTTCTGCGTGGTGTCGCTCGTAAATATTACATTATGGGACTTCAACTTCTCAACCTGGTGAGGGTGCAGAGCATAGGTTTTGATATTTATACGGAGTTCATTGCTAGTGGTAGTGAACGTATCACGTACCTGTTGGCAGTCGCCATGCAGTGAGGAGCGGATGTGACGAGATCACATGCAAATGGCAGCATTATTTATAATAATAACTAAAAGCGCCCCTGACTCTAGTTTTATTTAAAAATGGTAGTTTATTATTCGGCCGCTAAGAATAATGACCACATCTTACCTCTTGTTCAAAAAATGTGGACGAAATTTTCGCCCTCCGGTAAGTCGTAATGAATAATCATTACGCCAAAACCTCTGACATCTAAAGATGGCAGCGATGAGTTGTTGAAAAATCGGTGGGCCTACTTGGGCAAGTTGTTTTTTCTGTGATATATGTTGTCTGCCTTTGCACCGTCGTTAGGACAGTGATGCCGGGACTTCATTTCGAATGTGCATAGTTGGGAGCCTTCTTGTTATTTTCTGACCTCCTCGCATTGCCAAACGACAATTTTGGCAATGCGCTTGTAGATTGTTGCAGTGATATTGGGGAATTCCGTTAGTTCCGCAACAGTTGCCTTGCAGACGAAGTCATGCCGCTTGATGTTGAGGAACCGTCTCTGATCTTGGGAAGGTATGAAGGTGATTCACATCCATTTTCTGAATCATTCAGGTTTCAGCTCCATGCAGTAAGACCGAAGAAATGTCGCTAAGGTAAAATCATAACCAGGTACTTCGCAAGGGGTAATTCTATTGCCAAGCAAGGGACGCAGCTTTTATGATCCTAACAGTGAGTTCTGCGAGTTCTCGAGTAGCGGAATTGCCCTATGCCTTCAACTTTTTGGTCATCTGCGTAAACATTGGCGGCGGACGCGCCCCTTGCTTGTGCCAGTAAATCCATAAGTACAGCTTTTTCGAGGCGTTGTAGAACACTGAGGGAAGAGACAAGAAGAACTCTGAAGAAGAGCAAGGAATGCGATGTCATTTGCTTAATGATGATCCGTGGAGAAAGAATCGCAGACACAATGTTCACAGTTGCACCGGACTGGGTTCACGTATCCAAGTCGATAGCTCAACCGCAGAGCGTATGGGCAAACTCGTACCCCTGTCTAACTCCTGACCACGTGGAAAACTAATCTGAGAAAGTTGAGCTAATTCGAAAACGTACGTCGGTGCCTCTGTGTAGGTTGCGTAAAAGAATGGGAAGTCCGTTTCACCAATGCCCCTGAATGTCAAGACGTACCCCTAGCGGTCCACTTGTCAAAGCCCGACATCAGGTCTACGT